TCAAAGTAGAAAATGCGAATAGTGTAAAAGTCAAAGTGTTGCATTTATTTAAGAACGAAGGTAGTATTTTGTATTGTGTACTATGATGGGGAAACGGAAACAAAAGTTAGGGGCTTCAAAGAAAAAACTTAAGAAAAGAAAAGATGATGTAATGCAATCTTTTGCGGGCGCAATGAATAGGTATGTAAAAACAAAACTTTTTCAATCAACCTCAAACAAAAATCCCTACATAAATCATAAATGATAAAGATGAGAATGAAAATATTGGTGTTCAATTTGAGAACGAAATAAAAAAAGGATGAGGGTAGATGTGTTGTAAATGATGAGGAGGTGAATGCTGATGTTCAGAATGATATTGTAGATGTGTAGTCTGTAACTCTTGATATGACCGAGTTATGTGATCCGGGTAACTAACTGGAAAATACCTATTTCTTAAAAGATAAAGATTTCCTAGTTGAGAGGGGCCTAATGAAAATAACTGGTCATGATATCATGTTGATAAAAAACGGAGTTTTACTGACAAACACTATACTCGGTGCTTGACAAATGGTGAAAAATACGACCGCCCATGATTAGTTTACCCAATGAGAAAAAACAGTCTTTTGTTTTTGTTCTAATTATTTCATCTTTAATTTTGTTATTAATTTTAATTGCTATTTTATCTCATAAGTCATTCTCTGTCTGAGGCATCAAAACTCCTAGAGACGGCCCTGGGAGTGAGTGGTTGAACAAAGACTCCGAAAAAGTGTGAACATTTTGGAGAATCAGTTTGGTTTTATGCAAGGACACTCAACAATTGAGACCATTTACCTTCTTAGACAAGTTGTGGAAAAGTATAGAAACACTAAGATGAATCTGCATTTGGTGTTCATTGACTTAGAAAAGGCATATGATAGGGTACCTCGAGATGTCCTTTGGTGGGCCTTAACTAGAAAAGGCATATCACGTAAGTATATCAATATCATCTGGATATGTATGGGGCTTGTACTATAAGTGTTCGTACTAGTGTAGGGAGGACTACAGAGTTCCCTATTACTATCGGACTGCACCAAGGATCGCTCTGAGTGCTTTCTTATTTGTTATAGTCATGGATGAACTTACGAAGTCAATTCAAGAAGATATACCGTTGTGAATGATATTCGCCGACAATATTATATCGATTGATGAGACACAATTGGGTGTTAAAACGAAGTTGGAAGTATTGCAACAAACATTGGAGACCAAAGGTTTCAAACTAAGACGAAGCGAGACTGAGTATATGGAGTGCGTGTTGCTGGAAGTATAAGTAGTAGTAATAGTGGGATTAGCCTTGATGGCAGGACATATCGGTGTGTGATATGTTCTGTTACTTAGGCTCCATAATTCAGAAGTATGGTGAAATAGATGGAGATGTATCACATAAAATCAGAGCAGGATGGATGAAATGGAAGAGTGCATCAAGATTTTTATGTGATCGAGATATGCTGATTAGACTTGTAATACTTGAGATTAATTTAAAGGGATTAAAAGTACTACTCATACAAACAAGGTGCATCTCCTTTTAAGAGAGTTCATCAACTAAGAATTCCAAGTTAAGTGTGCTTGCATAGGAGTAGTCTTGCGATGGGTGACCTCCTGGAAAGTTTCTTTGGGCGCACACGAGTGAGGACAAAGTGCGCGGAAAAGACACTTGGTGGTTTGTGAGGACAATACTAGAGGTCTGGAGGGCGTGTAACAGTAACTACCTCGGGCCATACGGGGCGGGGTGTTACAAGCCGTATCAGAGCAACCTTGCGACAGTGTGTTGACCCGTTGGATACCGGGCGCACACTTAACATGGGAGGATTCTGGGGTTTGATTGAGATTGATTTATGGGCGCAATGAGGACGTTGCATTCCTAAGTGTGGATGATTGTAATACTTGAGATTAATTTAAAGGTATTAATAGTACTACTCATACCAATAAGGTGCATCTCCTTTTAAGGGAGCTCATTAGCTAAGAACTCCATATTAAGATGCTTGCGCGGGAGTGGTCTTGGGATGAGTGACCCACTGGGAAGTTTCTCAGGGCGCACATGAGTGGGGGGGCAAAGTGTGCGAAAAATGATTATGGTGGTTTGTGAGGACAGTATTAGAGGTCTAGAGGATGTGTAGGAGTAACTACCCCGGGCCCTACGGGGCGGGCTGTTACAAGTCTGAATGGTAAATTATATCAGGCGACAATTAAGCCTGCATTTACGCGTGACGTAGAGTGTTGAGCGGTGAAACAATGTCACATTCAAAAGATGAGTATGGCAGAGATGTGTATGTTGCGTTGGATGTATGGACACACAATCAGACAAAAATGGTGAGAGTAACACTTATAGAAGATAAAATGCAGGAGTCTGAAAAAAGGTGAGAGTAACACCTATAGATGTAACACTCATGTGCGCAGAAGACCGGATGATGCACCTGTTACACAATTTGAGAGGTGGGGAGATGAGGTGGAGAGGAGAGACTAAAGAAGACCCAAACATACTTGGATCAAAGAAATCAGAACCGATATGCTTCTTTTTGGGTTGGATGAGAGTGTGAGTTTGGAGAGAGCAAAGTGGACGGCGCATATTGGTGTGGACGATTGATCTCTTTTCTCTTTCTTCCTTTTTTATCTTTTATCTTCTTTATCATGTTATGTTCTTATGTTATTTTTATCTTATATCTTTATTATGTTCTTTTATCTTTTTAGCCTTTCTCTTTCTTATGTTCATATGCTAGTTTTTCTTAGATTTCTCTTTATCTTATCAATTTTATCTTACTATATTATTTTTATTTTTATTATCTTTCTTCTCTTTTTTGGCTCTGATATCATCAACCGATTCACGTTAGCTGACCCCAAATTCTTTTGGGAATAAGGTTTGGACGTTGTTGTTGTTGTCGTAGAGTTTTATAATGAGAAATTAAAAATTACAAGAAACGGGAAAAGAAGAAAAAAACAAGAGAAGTAGAGCAAAGAAAGAGAAAGAAAAAGAAAAAAATCAGCCCGCACTACAACATATATCCCTTCTCAAGATAACCACGCATTTTTATTCATTAACTGGGACTTCCGACTACGATGGGTCAAAAGAAGAAAGTTATTTTGGAATTTTTGAGAGGGTGATAAAATAAACTTCAGCTGGAATGGTAAATTTTCTCTAGAGCTTGTAGAGAAATTCTATCAAAAACGGGTATTCAAGCAATGTCGACTTATGCTATGAATGTATTTCTTCCGCCTAGAGGGTTGTTTGATGAGGTTGAAGGGATTATGAATGTTACTGGTGTAGGAGTGCAGATTTAGCTCGGCGTGGAAGGCTTTAAGTAAATTGTGTGTGCCTCAGAAGTTTTGAGGTTTAGGGTTCCGATGATCAAGAGAGTTTATTATAGCCATGTTAAGGAAACAAGCACGACGTTTTATTAAAGAGCCGGGTTCTCTAGTAAATAGAATTTTTAAAGCTCGACATTTTCCGAATAATTGTTTGAGAAAGCTAGGCTAGGGACTAACCCCCCTTTTGTGTGGAGAAGCATTATGGCTACTCAGGATATTGTGAGCAGAGGTTTACAACGACTAGTGGGGTTTGGTCAGATGCTTGAGTTCCGGGGTTGGAAGTTTGGTGGTGTCTTTTAACCGTCTGGCTGGTATTAGTGATATGAATATGGTTGCTTTACTCTCACAGAATAAGAAGTGTTGGAATGAGGAGAGAATTCGAAGCATTTTTAAGGAGAATGAATTTGCAAAAGTCTTGAGCATACCGATTATTGTAAGGTCGGTTAGGGATGCTTTCATGTGGGTGGATGAGGCTAGAGGTAACTATTCTGTTAAAAGTTGTTACCGATTGTCGGGGAAATTACAGTGAACGGGTGGATGGGTTGGACACATATGTGGACTTTCTTTATTCATCTAAAAAAAATATTATTTTGAAAGTTAATGGGAGGGATCTTATTTCTTGATTTTGCTCTTGAAACTTGTTGAATGTTAAAGTTGCAAGTTATTTTCTTAATTTATTCTCTTGAATATTAATTATTCCTTATCCAATCTTTATATTAATGTTGGAGTGTTGCTAAGTGACGATTAATTAACGTCTTGACATTAATTACTTCTACAAACGATCAATGAACCGATGATTAATCATTGATGGTTTCACAAGTAACTTAGAGTTATTAATGCATGGTCTCATGATTAATAATCTTAAAAGGGATTAATTGTGTTGGTTAAATCATAACCATTGTGTTTAGGTTATAAATTTCAATTGATTTCATCACGGAGTTGAGAGATTAAATGTCACTATCAAGTCGGTATATGACGATGTTCTATATTTGGTTAATAATAAGAGTTGTTAATGAACAGTCTCGTTATTAATAACTGCCCTCGATGAATTGGATATACTTATCGGTTGAGTATTCGAGAGGAGATAAGTTAAAGATATAACCGGGATCGACAAACATTTCATTAAGGGGAAAGTAGCAAAGTCAAGTCTTTTAATCTCATCAATTTTAATCACATAAGTTATTCATCTTAGTGTTTAAATTATTAAATAAAAAAAATCTTGAAACCCCACCTGTTTTGGTTACTAGTTCATACATATCCCTGCGTATATAAATCTTACTACACTATACTACGTAATATTGTTAGTATTGAATATTATTTTGAGACACACTACGACTTTAGTGTCATCAGTGGTACAGGAAACTTGGAACCCAAAAGAGGCAAAAGCTTTGGGATTGCAAAGAGTCATTCAATAGAGATGAGGTGGTCTAGACTCTAGAGATGAGGGGAATACTACTTTGGGCTTATTTTAGGCGACATCAAATATTTATTGAGCCTTAATTCTGAGTTTGAGATAAAATATTATAAGCAGACTACGGGTAGGTCTACTCATGTATTAGCAAGAGTAACTAATTCTATGCCTAATTTAAGGTGTTATTTTATGAGCAAAAAATAAAAAACATCCAAGTTTTAATCTTAAAAGATTTTTGGAGTCATCTATCATGAAACGATAAGATATCAAAGCCAACAGGAAAAGGAATTACAGCAAGCTTGAAACTTGAAAGATACAAAATTACAAATACTACTCCGTATTAATTACGGTGGTATACAACAATATTTAAGGCCTTATAATCCTAAAATATGATAGTAAATTTTCAAGATAGCAGTAACATACTCCTATTTTTGAAAAAACATACTACTCCAATTTGGAATTTTACATTGTCTTTAATTGGACTGAACTGAAAACGAATGTATACACATATTTTTTCTTTAAGATGTACTCCGTACTTCATATGTAGTTTTCATGCAGTCCATATTTTTTTAAAGTAATGAAAAATGTATTTCAAACATGGATAGTTTATATTTGGGGTAATTTGAGTTTGCACCCCATTTAATTGTGCAAATTGGACTTTGCGCCCCGTTTTAAAAAAACATTGTTTTTGTACCCCGTTTTTAGGGAGAAAAATTGTTTTTTTCCTCTTCATTAACCATTTTGTTGGCCTTCAACATATTCCTGATGAAGGACATTTTTGTCTTTTCATATGGGGTTGGGGGTGCAAAAACAAAGACTTTTAAAAACAGGGTGCAAAGTCCAATTTGGACAATAAAATGAGGTGAAACTCAAATTACCCCAAATATAAAATATCCATATTTGAAATACATTTTTCATTACTTTAAAAAAATATGGACTGCATGAAAACTACATATGAAGTACGGAGTACATCTTAAAGAAAAAATATGTGTATAAATTCGTTTTCAGTTCAGTCCAATTCGAGCCACATTTTCTCAGCAATTTCGTTACACAAATTTTACCAGTCCGAACATGGCAGTATGAATGCATAGCAAAAAAACTACGATAAACTTTTCTAACGTACTCAAATGAAAACGTTAACATTACAGCGACACTATTTAAATCTGTGAGCCAGCCAAGGGTCACATTTTTACCTATTTACTTAAATAATTACTGCTATTTGTCGTTTCTCAAACTTGATGGTCAGCTGGCAACGTTTTTTCAGCTACCACACAATTGTCAGCGGCCCTCTAACTATCAGCATCAATCATATCTTTATCGCCAAAGAAGTCTCTGTGACACAAGTTTATGGAAGCCATTCAGTTTTCGGACAAGCTAGGGTTACAGATTAAATATGGAACAACACCTGAAGGCCTGAACAAAAATACCATATCACAACCGTGGGTGTTTGGTTAAGTGCAACTTAATTTAGAGTTATGTGGTTGTATGTGTTTGACAGAATACTGAACATTTTAAAACATTCCATCCGTCCAAACAAAAAAGTCATGCTTCGTCAAGGTACAACTTGTTAATTTTGGCAAGACATACCTATTAAAATGTCGTTTTTATTAAATTTGTTTAAGTATAGGAATATTTCATTAGACATTTATTGTAGAGATCTCTTTCATTAATTGTGGGGATCTCTTTGTTTGTTTCCTTTAACGTGTATTTATTTCTTTTCCTATATAAATGTGAATATACAACTGAGCAAGGCATATCAACTTGTCCACAATCTCATTTCTTAGTTCTTCATGGTTTTTTGTGACATGGTATGAAAGTCACAAACCTTTTTCTGTAGAATTTGTTCTTGATCACAAATCCCAACAACAACATCCAAGTCTTATTCCCAGAAGTTTATGGGATCAGCTAACATCAATCAATCCATGATATCGAAGCAATAAAAAAAGAAAAGTAGGAAAAAGAAAAAGAAAAGATAAGATAAAAAGGATAAGATAAAGATAAAAGATAAAAGAACATAAGAAAGATAAAAGATAAAAACAACACAAGAACACGAGAAAGACAAAGAAGATACTCCCTCCGTCCCATATTTATCTTCATAGTTCGGTTTACGATGCTTGACTCACGATAAAGCAATTTGATCCATGTTCACACTCAGATTACTTTTAGTAAATAAAATTTACATATTCAGAAACTACATTAAAATCTCTACAAAGTCTGATCAAGAAAATTTAAATTTGATAAAAATTTGATATGGAAAGTAAACGATTAAGAGTAATTTGAGTTGACCATGTGAACAGTAAAAGAGAAGTGATCAATCCGCCACACAAATATGCGCCCTCCACTTTGCTCTCTCCAAAGTCATACTCTCATCGACCCAAAAATGTTCACAAATTCTAACATGGTTTTTCTCTTGCAAGAACTAGAGTGACATTGCACAAAACTGTCCTAATAAGATTTGTAGCTTTGCAAGAAGCTCAAGCACATCATCAAAGATTGCACTATTAACCCACCCCATCGCAAAATGCTGCATATCAGGCTACCATAAAAGCTTCAGTCACACCTGAAATGGTATAACAAATTATAATGTCTGCTTTCTCGGCACTGGGTTTCAAGGTACTTATATTCTCCACTCTAATTGGTTTCTAGATTCTAGAGCCTCCAATCATTTGACTTCTTCGATACATGGCCTCCAATAAGTTGTCTACTATTGCAATTCATGATGTTTCTCATCGAGTTAAAAATGCATTTGTCTGTCCCAATTTATCTACAAGCCTCATTTCTGTTGGGCAACTTATTGATGATAAATGTGACATGAAGTTTTCTTCTCATGGTTGTCTTGTGCAAGATCTGGTGTGAGGAGAGCTGATAACGAAGGGCCCTGACCCCTAGGGTTGGGGACATCTCTTTCCATTACGTTTTACTAGATTTAGCTGAGTTCTTTTGCTTTTTCATGTAACATACTCATGATCGATGTGAAATAGGAGACTTGGCCACCTGAATCCTTGAGTTCTTTCTCATCTGTTATACCTTGGTCTTTTGGGTAACAAAAATAATATTCCTTCTCAGTTTGATTGTGCGTCCTACAAACTAGGTAAATGCAAATTTCTTACTTTTCTCGTTTAATGGTATCGTGTTTCCCATTGTTTTTTATCTCATTCATAGTGATGATTGGGGGATCTCTCCTATTGTGTCTCATTCTCATAACACATTTTGTTACCTTTATTGACAATTATAGTCACCATACTTCGGACTCATATTACAACCCATGATACAACACCAACATTGCTCCTTTAACATGAAGGATCTCGGTGGGCTTTCATATTTTCTGGGACTCGAGGTTACTCTTAGTCCAACTGTCATCTTTCTAAATCAAACCAAATATGCTCGTGAACTCATTGATTCTGCATGTCTTCTTGGCACTTCTCCAATTGATACTCCAATAAAGCTAAATGTTGAACCTGAAAAAACGACAAAGATATTCTAGACCCTATAGTGTATCGTATGCTTGTGGGCAGTTGAGTGTATCTTACAACTACTAGTCCAGATCTCTGTTTTGTTGTGCAACAACTTAACCAATTTCTTCATAACCCTCGTCATCTCTGGGGTAAACTTATCGTACAGTAATTAAGCTCGCATTATTGGACGACATAGAGTGTTGGGCGGTGAAACAATGTGATGATGAGTGTGGTTGAGATGTGCATGTTGTGTTTGATGTGTGCACATACTAAAAAAGACCGTAGGAATGCGACAATCAAGTAAAATGTTGGAGTAGCACCGACTGAAGATAATATGTGAGAGTGTCAATTGCGGTTGTTTGGCTATGTGTGTAAAAGATCGAGTGATGCACCTGTTAGACGAAATGAGAGGTGGGTAAGAGAGGCGGAGAGGAGGGGAAGACTCAGACATTCGTGGATTAGAGGGGTCATAAATGATATGATACTTCTTAGGTCAGTTGAGAGTATGACTTCGGAGAGAGCAAAATGAAGGAAGAATATACATGTCAAGAGTTGATCTAATATTATCTTTTTTTACCTTTTTTATATTATCTTTCTATTTTATCTTGTTTAATCTTTATCTTTTAGCTTTGATTTCATATGTCGGTTCATGTTAGCCAACCGCAAACTCTTACAAAACTAAAGCTTTGATGTTGCCTCATCAGCTCCAATATGACTGCAAACCAATGTAGTATTAGTTAACCAGGCACTGCTACCAATGTACATTTTTACTAAGTTTTTTCCGCGTTAATGCTAATTAATTAAGTATTTACGAAAATAGGGTTGGGTTAAAAGTATTTACGGATATACTGCTGGGCTTAACCCTAGTCGGGGTAGGTCGCCAAACCCTTGGACGACTTATAAGTCGCCATCCGGTTTGGCGACTTATAAGTCGCCCAACGGTTTGGCGACTTATCCATAAATTAAAGAACCGGGTTAAGCTCAAGAAGTCATTGTGAACCTCAAGAACCCACCAGTCCAGTATCAAGAAAGAAAGTTTAAAAAAAAAGAAAGAAAAGAGGGGCAAAATTGTCTTTTGAGACCCGCTGAATTTTACGACTATCGTGTCCGAAGGTCGCCCGCGCAGGGGGGTGCGAATTTTCGATTCTGAAGTAGAAGCCGGAATTCTTGTGTGCGCGAGAGCTCCCCTCTTTAGTTCCCAAGGAGTTTAGGTGTGAGAAAGTTTAAAAGATTCCTTTTTCTCCTATACTTGAGAAGAACATTTTTCCATCTACCTTATTTAAGAGCTAGTTTTTGAGCCACTTCAAACTTCAAAGTCCAAAACTCCAACACCAAAGGTCAACACTACAATCAAAGCTTACAAAAGTCAACCTTGAGATTAAAAAAATAAAAAAATAAAAATTCTCAAGGTTAAGACTAGTTTTCTCAAACTCCAAGCTACATTTCAAGGTCCAGGAATTTGCAGAAAATTTCAATCAACCTCAAGTCTACGGTCAACATTCAACAATCAGTAATGGATGTCTCTAACTCATCAATGTGTAAGAACAAAAGCGCTAAAGTTTCTGATGAGTCTGAGATAAGCAAATCTGACAGTCAACAAATAATCAACAACTTGGAAGACAGATTAGATAACAACTACAGAAACCTACTTAAAAATCTTGACAAAGTTTCCTCCTTGAGTGTACAATTAGAAAACGAAAAAGAAAGGGTTAAGAAGGTGACCTTAGAAAAGGAAAAGTTCGAAGTAAAAGTCTGTGACTTAACTAAACAGTTGAAAGCTTCTGAACTTGAATGCATCATAGGGAAAAACAATTTCGATTTTATTCATGCGCAACGAAGCAAATTATATTCTAAGATCAAGGAGTTGGAGGACTTACTTGCTAAGCGAGGTCAAACAGAACAAACTATTTTCTTAAATCAGCCTAAAGACACCACTTTCTACAATCTTAAGGAAGGCTTAGGTTTCCAAAACCCATGCAACTTAAAGAAAGTCAACTGTATAACATTGGATACATGGGCTTGGGTTTGAGGAAACTCATGTACTTCGTGGGAGCATCAGAAACTGATGCCGAAGAAAAGGAAAAGAGAGAAAATAATCCTAAGACTGAAATCTCGTTTGACTACACTAAACTGAATGATAGTTATAAGACTAGGGAAATTCCTTTGTCTGATGACTATGTATCACTTTTTCCTCCAGCAAGTGAGTCTGAGTCTGCAGGGGAAGAAAAACCTATTTCTGAAAAACCCGAAACTGACAATGTTTACATTCCAAAGGTCATCTGTAAAATTCACATATTCACATTTTCCTCCTTGAGTCTAATTGTACACTCAAGGAGGAAACTTTGTCAAGATTTTTCAGTAGGTTTCTGTAGTTGTTATCTAACCTGTCTTCCAAGTTGTTGATTATTTGTTGACTGTCAGATTTGCTTATCTCAGACTCATAAGAAACTTTAGGGCATTTGTTCTTACACATTGATGAGTTAGGGACATCCATTGCTGATTGTTGAATGTTGACCGTAGACGTGAGGTTGATTGAAATTTTCTGCAAATTCCTGGACCTTGAAATGTAGCTTGGAGTTTGAGAAAAGTAGTCTTAACCTTGAGATTTTTTTTTTAATCTCAAGGTTGACTCTTGGAAGCTTTGATTGTAGTGTTGACCTTTGGTATTGGAGTTTTGGACTTTGAAGTTTGAAGTGGCTCAAAAACTAGCTCTTAAAGAAGGTAGATGGAAAAATGCTCAAGTATAGGAGAAAAATGAATCTTTTAAACTTTCCCACACCTAAACTCCTTGGGAACTTTTGAGCCTATAAATATGAACCACTCCTCACTTAGTATTAAAAGGTGAATGAAAAGAGGGGAGCTCTCGCGCACACAAGAATTCCGGCTTCTAGTTCAGAATCGAAAATTCCCCTGCGGACACGATAGTCGTAAAATTCAGCGGGTCTCAAAAGACAATTTTGCCTCTCTTTTCTTTCTTTTTTTAAAAAAAAACTTTCTTTCTCGATACTGGACTGGACTGGTGGGTTCTTGAGGTTCACAATGACTTCTTGAGCTTAACCCGGTTCTTTAATTTATGGGTAAGTCGCCAAACTGTTGGGCGACTTATAAGTCGCCAAACCGGATGACGACTTATAAGTCGCCCAACGGTTTGACGACTTACCCCGACCAGGGTTAAGCCCAGCAGTATATCCGTAAATACTTTTAATCCAACCCTATTTTCGTAAATATTTAATTAATTAGCATTAATACGGAAAAAACTCATGTTTACTCTATTTCTCTTGAACTGTCCGCCTATAGTAATGATGTTACTCGATGTTAGTCTGGATGAGCAGGCACTCATCGCCCGACCACATGATAGTGTATGTTTGTGGGTCCGACTCTTGTTTCCTGGAAAAGAAAGAAATAAAATTGGGTTTCTAAATCTTCTTCTGAGTCAAAATATTGTGCTATTTCTAAATATGTGTTAGGAATTGGGCCTAATAGACTGTTAGGAATTGGGCCTAATAGACCATGAATAATAATAAATGTACTAGACTAGTATAAATAGAATAAGCTGGGAGAAGTCAAGGAGGCTGTTTTGACTGTTTAGACTTGTCTGGGAAGATTGAGAATTATTTCTCTCTCTTTGGGGGCTTCGGCTCAGCTGGGGGCTTCGGCCATTGATTTCCTACTCTCTTTTTGTAATCTGTAATCGATCAACTCCATCAACATAGATATTCAACTGTTTTCTTGTTATTCTTTCTGAAATTCTTCATAAACCCTAGATAGTCCTATCAATATGTTAGTAGCCTAATCAAAGATTGTATAGTTACGGCCTGCATCATTGCATGACGTTAATAGTCACCACTAGCGCTATTCACATTATTGCTAATCTTGTTTATCATGAGCGTACAAAACACATTGAGGTTGATTGTCACTTTATTCGTGAAACGTTTGAATATCAAGCTATTTCTTTGCCCCATGTATCCACGAATCTTCAGGTGGCCGATATCTTCACAAAGGCTCTTGTGCGCATCATCACTTTCTTGGAGGCAAACTAATGCTTGTTGATCAACCACATCAATTTGAGGGGGAGGGGGTGTCAATGAGAATCAGTAAAAATATCATTGTTGTTTCATTGAAATTGCTTAATTATAGGAAGATTTCATTAGGCATTAATTGTAGGGATCTCTTGCACTAATTGTGGAGATCTCTTGATTTGCTTTCTTGTTCATGTATTTATTTCTTGTCTATATAAATGTGAATTACAGGCATCTGAGCTTTTCCACAATCTTGTTTCTTAGTTTTTTTTGTATGTTTTCTCATAATATTCATGACATGGAAGTCATGGAATCCAACTTATATTTCCAAATTTGTTTGTTAATGTAACTTTATATTAATCATATGGAAAAAACTGTCAATTTGGTTACCGTACTATCATGAAAAAGTCAATTAAGTCCTTGTACTTATAAGAAAATCAATCAAATCACCGAACTTTGTAAAAACGTTCAATTGAGTCTATTAGCAAGTTACCCGCCACGTCCGCAAGTCATCTGCTGATGTGGCACACATGTGGCAGCCCGGTCAACATTGACTTTGCTGACGTGGCGCACATGTGGAAGCTTAGTCAGTCATTTACTGATGGCGTGATGCACACATGGACCGCCACGTGTGTGCCACGTCAGCGGGTGATCTGCTGACATGGCAGGTAACCTGCTACTTGACTCATTTAAACATTTTTTTCAAAGTGGGGATTTGATTGATTTTTTTAAGGGATGCAGACCTAATTGACTTTTTCGTCATAGTACGAAGACCAAATTGACAGTTTTCCCTAATCTGATTTAACTTGTTTGTAGCATTTGTTCGCAAACTGCATGAAAAATGGAATCATTTCATGCAACAAGACTCTTTTTATTTAAGCCACTAAAACAGCCATTGGAACACTTTTTCAAACACAAAAAGCACTTTTCTAAAACCACAAGGTTACCAAAACACAAAGCACATATTAAAACCGCTTACTCAAATATGACCATCGAAGTAGTATAATAATTTGCCATCTTGCATAAAATGTGCTATGCTTTTTCAATAAGAAACATTGTTTTTAAGGAGGAAGATAGATAAGAGACAGCAAAATGTTTATCAAATCTGAAGTTAAACAATACACTGTTACATTTTTAAGACTTTAGAAGGTCATACCTCAAGTTAGAGTTTTCATTGGGAGTGGCATTTGAATCAGAACTCCTTCGCAGGCGAGGCTTTTCATCTTCCTCCCCTTCAGATGAACAATCATTTCCATTCCATATGCGAGGGTTAGGCCTTTGATCCATGTCTTCTTCTCTCTGTACCATCGGGTGACTGGCTGACTGACAGATGGAAAAACATAATGAAAGAGGAGCTGTGAATCTGTCTATCTATATAATACAAACCTCTTCGGGTACGCCAATTGTGGAAGGTGTCGTCTGGAATGGTACGCTAGGTGCATGTGGCAATTCAGATATTTGTTCGAGCAGCATGTTCCTGCACCCAAAAATACTCTAGTCAAAGGGATAATAACATTCTTATTGTGTCGATTAGACAGTGTCAATTTGGAAATTATATAGACAACATCAGCATGAGGATTGTATATGACTTTCATTGCAGAAACAAATTCCCCACCCATTCTTCAATATGCAACTTGTGCACTCAACAGTAAACACGATGAGAAAAACTCACTCCTTTTAACCATTAATTAATATCATTAGCAAGATCTTCACAAAATGGACTAATTTTTTAAAAGTGGCTTTTAAAGCTGGCTTAGAGGCAAACATCCTCCCTTTTTACAAGCTGCAGCTAGGGAAAACAATCACTGTTACGATCCCACACCAGTCAAGTATGGGCTTCACCGGTGGCTTATAAGTAAGGTGTTCCCTCCTCCTAATCGGCTGGTCTTTTAGGAGTGAGTTCTACACCTAGATTTATAGCACTGATATGAGCCTAGTATGGGCTAGGTCCGTAACAATTGGTATCAGAGTCGTCCCCATCTTCCTGGTCCCGACACTCGAAGTGGTGGCCTTTGGAGTGGTGGCTTGGGCCCTGGGGGTGCCAATCGTGACCAACATAACCGTGACCAACGAGGACGCTGGCTCTTCGAAGTGTGTGGTATTGTTACGATCTCACACCGGTCAAGTATGGGCTTGACCGGTGGCTTATAAGTAAGGTGTTCCCTCCTCCTAATCGGTTGGTCTTTTAGGAGTGAGTTCTACACCTGGACTTATAGCACTGGTATGGGCCTGGTATGGGCTAGGTCCGTAACAATCACATACTCGGATAACTAGACTGAAGTAGAGATTAAGGGTCTGATCGGGAATTGGTGCTTAGAGGGTATTAGAAGGGAGGGCGCATTGGAGAGCTTAGAGTCTATCTTGATATATATATTTAAGGTTTCATAGAATTGAAGGAATAACATAATTAATGATAAAACAGTATTGCAATTTTCATTACTCCGTTTTCCGAAAGATTAAGTTTATCAAGATATAGGGCTGAGCCCTCCAAAGCCTTCCTTCTAAACCACTCCATTCAAACAGGCCCTATAGGATTAGAAACTGCACTAAGGTAATGTTTGGTAAGATGTTAATACGTAGTTCAATGTAATGAAATCAATTTGTAGTAAAATGGTCTATTATGAATTGATTCCATTACATGGCAGTACTGCACTGAGGCTTATAAAATATATTGCATAATTTCCTTCCCACCAACTCCCAGAAAACTCTATAGAAAGAAAAAAAAAGTTGGAATATAGTTGGAAATTTAGGCGGAAAGAAAATACGGAAGAATATATAATTTGTTCAAACTCAATAATACCACTATGTGTCAGAAAAGCAAATCTCAGTAGCTCCATAGATGGATCGCGTGTGTGTATTTATGATAAACTACGTGCACACGATAAGTCTAAATGTATGTAAAATATATGTGTAAAATGTACAGAAGTTTTAGTGAAATTTGATATTTCCCAAGGAACATGAAGCATAAAACTAATTTTCACTGTGTTTAACCCCCCGCCCCAAAGATAATCAAAACTAATGAACATCTTTAAGAAGTGATAAAGAGAAGGGAAGTAAAATGCATATGCAATAGACAGAAATATAATGCACAAATAGAAACCTGATCTTCTCCAAATCTCGTGGTGAATTCTGATTCTCCATAGGGTTTGGTTCAACATGAAGTGTATAATCGGGACCAAAATATTCGTAGTATTCATTATACGGCAGTTTATTATCAGGCTCAACCCCCACCGCTACTGCTGTCTGCAACATTGAAAAAAGTCAACCTTAGAGCAGATAAACCTTATTAAGAGTGTGGTTGGGATGGCTTATTACCAAGAAATGAATGACTATTCCAGAAGAAAATTATGCAATTTATTTTATAAGCCTCAGTGCAGTACTGCCATGTAATGGAATCAATCCATAATAGACCATTTTACTACAAATTGATTTCATTACATTGAAGTATTGAACTACATATTAACATCTTACCAAACATTACCTTAGTGCAGTTTCTAATCCTTTTGGATAAAATGTAAATATATACATATCCAGAAAAAAAGCATAATACAATGCATCAAAAAAATCAGAAAAACTGTCTAAGCTAGCTAGCTAACCTAAAATAGACCTCTTATTTTAAAAAAGGAGCAGATAGGTGTTTTTTTTCGAACAGAACTTTACATGCTTAAGTCTTTGTTTGGCAGGGAAGAATAGGAAGGAGAGAAGTAAGGAAGAGAGAAATGTAGAACTGTAGCACTTCTTTTGTTTGGTTAGAAATATGTAAAATTTCTTATTCCTCGTAAAGATGAAATTGATTGTTTTGTTTTTCAACCCAATTTTTTTATATTTACCTTCTACCAAAAAACTAATAAAACTACAAAAATATACTATTTCTCTCTTTACAATCACATTCTCACCCATTTCTTTCTTCTCTATTTTTTCTCTAAACCAAGCAAAGCCTAAATGAGAAGACCTTTGTGATAAAAGCACTTATACCACAAGTTATCCCAGACAGGCTCTAAATCGGAACCAGTGCATACAAACACAAACCAATGAAGACGTCTGAGTTGGGGGGAGCAGGAGCAAACCTCATAGCACCAACAGCGGGCAACATTCCGGATAGTATACCCTCCACCACCCAAAACCATTAGAGGAACGTTAAAGGATCTAAGGAATCGGAGACAGTCGGCATGACCTTTCACAGACAAGTTGAAGCACCCCAACCTGTCACCCGCCAACGAATCTGCTCCACACTGAAGAACAACAGCATCCGGTTGATAGACCTCCATAACTTTTTGGATTATAGGACGGAACAAACTACGGAAGCTATCGTCATCCATTCCATCATTCAATGGGGCATTAACAGCATAGTATTTCCCGTGACCCACACCGATGTCTTTGATGTGCCCAGTGCCCGGAAAGAAGTCCCCAAATTTATGGAAAGAGACTGTCATTACCCTGTCTGTCGTGAAAAATGCCTCTTCAACGCCATCTCCATGGTGGATATCAATATCTATGTATAGTACGCGCTGCACAGTAGTGTGATATACACAGCAGATGAAACAATTATTCATGGTATGCTAAATGATTGAATGAAAAGAATAAATCGAGGAGACAAATGATTGATATATGAAGTTACATAAGCATCAAACTACCACTGCACATTTCTTGCAGCAAAAACATTAAAGTACACCAAAAAAACAGATATTATCTACTTAGCAATAATACTATTTTATGCAAATAGTGCACCAACAGGTTATTAAGGATAAGTTGGGGGGAGTAGAAGGGAAAGGTTACTTTTCATTTTTAAGTTAGGAGGATTATGTATGGTTTATGCTAATTATTCTTAATATACTCTGTGATTGAGTACTAGGACAATACACTCATATATCATCTATATCTTTTTGTTTTAAATAATTATCATGTTAAAACATTTTCTTAATATGATAAATTACACCTCCCTTTCCTTCCAAAGCCATTCCGGACAAACATACCCTTCATTAGGCTTAGATACTCAGATCCACAAGGAGAGGCTAGCATGATCATCCATAAAAAAAAAAATAGCAAGTCTTTATGACATAACTTGCACCACTGGAAAAGAACAATATGTGCCAAATAATGAAATGAGAACTACAACAACAACAACAAAATTGGAGCCCCATAAGAGGTGCAAAAAAATAAACTTTCTTTACAAACCACTTCAAAATTGAGGATTTCAGAGTACTCTTGTAGTTGGAAGAACAAGCACTAATTAGTCGCGAGGTACAAAATGGTACAATTTAAGTTTAAAATAGTTAAACAGGAAACGGCAAAAATGAAGAAAGTTAATACCCTGTGGTACTTGAGAAGCTCAAGAATGCCTAAAACAATGTCGTTAACGTAGCAGAAGCCGGAGGCCTCACTCTTCTTGGCATGGTGCAAGCCACCCGCCCAGTTGATGGCTATATCGGCGTCCTGTCTGTTAAGCTTCACGGCGGCGCCGATGGAACCACCGGCTGAAGCTTGGCAGAACTTGAAAATCCCGTCGAAGACCGGGCAGTCTTCCCCGACATTGAAGCGCTTGAGATGGCGAGCGTGTGTATGGTCATGGAGTGACTCGGGACTGACAGAAGCTAGAAAGTCGACGTAGTCCGTAGAGTGAAAGCGGCGAATGTCCGAAGCATCTGCAGGAAAAGGGCGACTGATCTCCATACGGCGATGGAGGGAGTAATGGACCACAAGGTTGTGGGCCATACGGATACGGTGAGGTTTCATGGGATGACCTTGTCCGTAGTAGTAGTCTCCGATTGTAGGCTCGTAGAAATACGACACGCGCCGCTTCTGGGCATCGGTTCCACTTGACGGGAGAGACGCGCCGCCGCTCTCTGCGGTTGAAAAGTCCATTGAGGACTGGGGCTTTGACTTAGGGCGACTTTGTAAATAACGAAAAGGTGAAGGAGTCTGGTTTTCTATTTTTTCCCTTCTTCAACTTTACGTTGGTTTATTGATGCATTACTCACTTTTGGGTATGAACAAACACCTTCTAAAAATTGAATTTTGAAATAGCCAATAATAAAGTAAATGTCATATGCCCAACATTGAATTTTGAAAAGAACACGTAAAAAAATCATACTCTATATCATTTATAGAGTAAATAAACTGAGCAAAATGTATGGCGGTCAACAAAATTAAAGTTATGAAACAACCAGAAAATTAAAGTGCTAAACCATTATAGTCTTCAATCCTTTTCTTTACTAAGTTTTGAAATAGCCGATAATAAGAGTATAAACTGTAACAAATTAAACGTAGGCAAAGAGATAGGATGGTAAAACTTATATATCAATCGTAATGATGAATAAACATCAACTATTGGAGGGAAGAATGGAAACTCACCAAAGTGTTGATCAAGCCGCGTGAAAAAGACGACAAACCTAAGGAAACCCTCATTTATAGAACCGGAGAAAGAGACAGAAATCACCCCAAACTGAAATTTCATTGAATATAATAGGAATTTGTTATTGATGCTCCAGCTTCTGGAATGCAGGTTGAAGACTATTAACACAAATAAATGGGTACATTTATTCAACAAATTATTAAGGAACATTTTTCACATGCATACGTGGGTATGCCGTTAGAAGAGTACAGAGGCTTGCGGTGGCTCACAGCTCATCATGGACAGCTTATTCTTTATTTATTTATTCAATCATTATCACATTAGTTTTGATAGAATAGTTTGTTCCTCTTTGTAAACTGCTATTTAAACTGTACATACGATCAGTAATAGCCATCAATCGATACTCTAATTAAGACTATGGCGGTTTAGCTTCACAAACGGATCTCAAAAAAGAAGCAAACGAAAGGAGTTGGTTCGTCTGTGTCAACCGGTAGAGTTAACGCTGTTAATCAAGTAACGATCGACAAACGTCTAGTAGGAAGTGTACAACAATAGTTGTGCAATGTACATGTAGAGAAAGCAAAGTTCTAATAGGATTTAGCATTTAATAAGAATAAGTGACCTTTATAAGATAGGTTAAGATAAGTTCGAAATTCATCTCAATCACATATTCAGATGTTGTAATTTAACATAACAAATACTATAATTTGTGAGAAAGAGCAAAAAAAAATTGTAAGCATATGATGATTGAGAAAATTGCTTTTGCTAGAACCAAAGGTCCAAAACATAACATTTTTTAACCCGGAGAGACCTGTGGGGGTGGGGAAAGGTCCAAACAACAAGTGTCTGTTTACTAACAAAAGTATTTTCTGTTTTTCAAAAAATTTAGAAAACTGGAGATAGAAAAATTAGAAAACAAGCATGAGATTATTTCAAGGTGAAGTATAAGTTGCAAAATCTTTCCTGCTCTATACAAGTAGAATAATGTTTTCATTGCTTAAGAAGTCTGTTTTTTCATCGCTTAAGAGTTCTTTTTTTGGGTTGCTCTATTGTGACTATTTTCCTTCTTTCTGGGTTAAGTTGAGATGCAGTTTAGCTGTGCCAGCCCTATATACAAAAATAGCAGATTCCTGACCTGCCTTATTGGGAGGACAGGCTCAGTGGACAGCAGGTCTTGTGGCTTCCTTGATTTTTTAGTAGTATCATTGCAGCGGATACATTTGCTTTTTTGGTGGGAAGGTTTTTGGTAGGACTCCGCTTTCGATTATTAGCCCAAAAAGACTTGGGAGGGAGCTATAGCAGGTCTTGCTGGTTCCATAACCATTACCGCACTATTGTCAAAGTTACTATGCTGGCCCACATCTATGTTGAGTGCATTGGCTTTTGGAGTTGTGAACTTTTTTTGGATCAGTTTTTGGTGACCTTACGGAGTCAATGATCAAACGTGATGCAGGTGCGAAAGACTCATGATCCCTCATCCCTGGACATGGTGGAATACTGTTATACTGGACAACTATATACTCACAGGAGGCCTAGCTTATTCTTTCATTCATATGTGTTTGCTGCTCTATGGTGTTTAGTTATTGAACATAATCTTATTGAACTTTCAGTGTTGGGAAACATTTATGTTAATTTTGGTGTTATGTTTGCGGCTGATGCTGGATATATGTTTTGGTTTGTTTGCCTAATTCTGTCTTTAGCTGAGATGTGTCATGATGTCTTGTAGCCGAAGTCCCTTTTCTTCAAGGATTCTTTTTGAATTTATTGGCTCTGGGCTAAAATGAAGCCCCCCAATCCCCCACTCCTTCAAGCTGAGGGTGGAATCGGGTTGACGGAGTAGATGTGTTCGAAGTCGAGATGGCACCCTGAATGCCCCACAGATCCAACCTTTCTGGCGAACCCTGACCAAGGCAACCTTGTGGGAGAATCCTCGGACGAAGGTCGCAGACCGAAGGTTACCACCGGCGGGTTTGGTTCGAGGTGCGTTTTGTTTCAAATCCCCCCCCCCCCCCCCCGCTTTATGAGGCCGAAGGAGGTCCCGAGTAGACGTAGGCCGTTGGATGTTTATGCCGCTGTGAAGGCCGAAGGTGTGTTTTTTGGTGAAAGAATTCTCTTGCCGATGTAAGATTGATGCTTGGTAGTTGATAAGCGTTTTATTAACGTGTTTTATACAATCATTTATAAACGTTTTTATACTTAAAGAATGAAATCCTCACACATATTCCTCGTTTGCTACAAATACTTTAATCAACTATTGCACCAAATACGAGGATGATAGAATACACAAGAAGAATGTCGACAAGAAAAGGTCAGCCAAACGCATCCCAAAGAACAAAGTGAGTAAAGAAAAATGAACAAAAGGAGTGAAAGTCGCCTGGCTTTCACCAATGCCGGTCGGTTTTCACCAGCCAGCCATGCATTTGCCGTCCAACGAAGAGAAAAGCGTCCGGTTTAAAAATAATGAAAGCCGCCCGGCATTCATGGATGGCACCCTCCTTTCGGCGGCGCAAATTAATTCCGGAAAATCAAACCAAAAGCCGCCCGACTTTCACAAATGCCACCCGATTTTCACAAATGTCACCCAGCTTTCGTCTGTGCGAGATTAAAATAACAGTCATCACAATTATTCGGAGAAAACACCAAATCCCATTAAGGAACTTGCTTCCTTGTCTAAAAAATGGCCGTTGAGGACTCCATATGTAAGTGTTTTGAAGCCCTCTCAACACAACATTCTATATTCTACACACTATGCTTCCACTTTAACATCTCAAGAGCAACCCCTTGGTCTTGGGAGAAGTTCTTCAATTGGGGAAACCATTGTCCACCATAGCTTTGGAGTTGTGGTATCAATTTCTTATGTATTTCATTGTATTTTATCATTTTAATACTTGTAATTCCATTATGAATTGTTCTAGCTAATTTTCCATATCCAAGATTAGGAATGAAACTTTACGCACTCTAGGTGTTTGATGTATGTTCTCAACCAAATTATTATGATCATTTCTTTATATTTTAATGTGTATGACTACGGTGTACAACGTATGATTATATCGTTAGGTTTATTTGAGCAATTAACTTTGAGTATGATTACATCTTTAGACATATTCTAATTGTGGATAGAAATATACCTCAATTGAATATGATAGTTTTTATAATGTCCTAATCTTCAATGGGGTTAATTTTAGATGAATGTGACCCGTGATGGGATTCACTCGTAGAGTTAATCACAATCTTGCTGCCGTAACAGGAGTTAGAATACTTTAGTGACAATCCACTCATAAGAATTGGTGAAAGAACGTATATTCATCGCTAGGACTCGTTTAAGAGTAATCCCGAACCCTTGGTTGTTTTTATTATTATTTGAAAACAAGAAATCTCTACTCTTTTATTTTCTTAAGCCTTTTACAAAAACTCTTCTCGACTTTGAATCATATAAACAATGTTTCCTCATGTTCGACTCAGTATTTTTACCGGTTTTTATTACTACATTGGCACTTGTACACTTGCAAGTTTTAGGCGATCAAGTTTTTGGTGCCATTGTCGGGGAAACAGTACGGTCTTGTTTTATACGATTCAAAAAAATTCTTGAATTTTCCCTTTTCATTTCACCTGTTTTTGTTTTTAATTTTATTGTGTAGACAACCTTTTGGTGCATGCTATTGAGAAGTCAAGGCTCTACTAACCTTGAACATATCAATCTTGAGATTGAGAGAGCTTGTAAAAGGAACCGGAAGGAAACAAAGATACCAATAATGCTTCCCACGCTCAATGAAAGGAAGAGGCCTGTCATTGCAACCACTCCTTACGTCGTGCTTAGCAAGGCGACACGAGACTATGAGTTGCAGAATAGCTACTTCAACGCTATGCCGCACTTCTATGGACAACCGGAGGAGAATCCATTAAATTTCATCACTGAGTTTTATGGGTTCATTCAAGGGTATTCCAAGGAAGGGGCTCAATGAAGATGATCTTAGACTCAAATGCTTCCCTTACACCTTAAAGGGAGCGGCAAGAGGGTGGTTCCTAGAGCAAGCATCGACATCCTACACTACTTGGGAAGATATCTATAATGTCTTCTCCAAATACTACACACCAACGATGACGCAAGAACTACGACAAAAGGATCTTCAACTTCAAACAACAAGTTGGAGAGCTTTTTCAAGATGCATGGAGGCATTTCAAATCTTTGTTGAAGGAATGCCCACATCACCGCATTCCTGTTGACCTTCAAATAGACACCTTTTACAATGGCTTGAACTCATCTTGTAAAGCTATTGTAGACAACCGAGTGGAGGGATACATTGGCAACAAAACCGAGACGAAGGCTTTAAGGATCCTTGAGTCCATTGCTTCAAATCCTCAACTACAAGGAGGAGACATCAAGGTAGAGGGAGTGAATGAAATTTCTATCACTCATGAACTTGACAAGAGGTTTGAAAATTTTCAAACCAAAATTCAACAAAAGCTTCAAGCATCGATTCATACGAATTTACATGCCGTTATTGGAGGGGCCAAACAGGGTTCGGGCAGAAAAACGCAGCGGAATAAACGAAAAATTTACTGTCCAAAAGTAAACAATCAGATCTGAGGTTCTTACTA